CAGGGCAGGCGGGGATAGAACTCATGCGGAAGTAGCTTTAGATTCTCAGTGCTGTGCTTTAACCCGCTGCGCCACCAGGGAGGGCCCAAATTGCAAGAAATTTTATGCTATAAAATATGAGGTAAACTAGTATGTCTGAATTATTTGGCTATATTTTTTCACTATATCCTAAATAACTACTGAGCATTGTAATTTTTACTTCTAAAATCTACTAGAAAATTCAAACAACAAAATTGGAATAAAAAACCATTTCCTTTACAAATAAAATTTTATTGTTAAATAAATTCTAAAGCTACAATAAAAAGTCTAAAATACAGAAAAGTTCATATATATATGTATGTTCATACTATAAGAAGGAAATCTTCATAAGAAAATGTAAAAAAATCATTCAAATCACTACTTAAAATCACATTACAAGGTTGATATGTGATGGGTATTATTTTCCATTTGCTGTACTAACTGATCTTTGTCACAGAAATCAGCTCAAAGTCTAATAGATTTATTAAAATCTAGCATGTCCAATCATCAACCCCATTAGCTAACATTAGTGAAAAATGATGAAATTTAATCCTAGGCTTGAGTGCCAGAATTACTACTACACACTACAGAGAGCTATTAAGAATGTTAATCAAAGTTGTACTTATAATACATAACTTTAATTCAACAGTACATTATTATCTTTAAGAAAAATATTGATACTGTGAACACAATTCCAAACAATGACATTTACTGAAGATTAGGAACTATTTCAAAAATTTACATGTATTAACCCATTTTAATATTTGACGGCACATCTACGACACTATTATTACTAAACCCATTTTAGAAGTGACTAAGTCAAGATAAAGAGAACTGAAATAACTTAGAACCTCAATCCAAACTTATTTATTCTCTTAGAAAAATAGCTTATGCTCTTTGCCCAATGAAGAATACTGTACCTGCTTGCAGCTGTAGAATCTTTTATTTTCTTCCCTTCCAAGGAAGCCAAATGTTGTTCCAAAGCATCAAGGAGACTGCTAGGGGCCTGAAATTGTAAATAGTAAGTCTTTCAGTGTAATTAGGCCACTAGTCTAAACAAATCCAATATGATATAACATCAGAGTAGCAGAAATAAATAGTTCATGAGGTATATTCCTCATGAACCAATTTACAATGACCTTATTTAAGAACAATATGATTTTTATTACATAATTATCACCTAGTAAGGGATATTGAGAAATGTGAACTTAACATAGTATATTCACATGTCCTCAATGAAACAAGCCAACTTATGTTACAATGTAATGTTATTTAAGAAAATATGTTCCAAAAAATTAACTATGAAAAATATAAACACTGAGATTCTGTAAAAAAGACAGTAAAAGGATCCTAAAAACATTTTGCTTAACTTATTTTAGAATCTACCCTAAAAGTTGACAGTTATTGTCAAATATGTACCAGTACTTAATAAACACTTGCTGAGTAACTGAAAATGTCCAATGTTTTTGATTAGTTAATGATAAATAAAACAAGACTAGCACCAAAGAAGAACCAATTTAAATCACAAGATACATCTACCTTGAAAAAGGATCAAATGTCTTTCATAAAGTTAACTATACATATACCTCAGGTACCTTCATTCTGAAAACTCAGTTTAAAAAAAGCACATAATACAACCAAAGGAAAAGCACAGGTATAAAGTTTCTCTCCTAGAATTTTTTTTTGATTATATAAACTGATAAATAGCTAACTGAGAGCTTAATGTTCTTAGCTAACATGACTGAGAGCTTAATGTTCTGAGAGCTTTTTAGATATTAACTCATTTAACTTGTTCCCCCTACCACACCCTGCTACTAAAATGGATAAATACCCATTTTAGAAATGATCAAACTAAAGTATAGCGAGTTACTTCTCCAAATTGCAGGACTAGTTACAGATACAGGAAGGACTTAGATTAAAAACAAACAACAACAACAAAAAAACCCTGCTCTCTTAAATCAACATCATGGTTTGAGGCTTATACCTATTTAAAACTCCTGAGTCAAAAAGTCAAAATAAAAGGCTAAAGGGAGGAAAAATAAATCCTGCATATATAAATCTATGTACCAATATTATAAGTGAAAAATTTGAAAATATGTTCTGTAAGTGCAGTCCTTAAAATTTTTTTCCTGTTTTAGACAAAGATGATAGATGATGGGGAAGAGATGAAAGGAATTAAACAAAAGGAAAGGTTTAGTAGTACCTAGCTTCACAAATATAAGTGAGTAGATCAGTTTATGTGGTCTTAATATTAAAACTGTTAGCAATACACCAAAAATGTTAACATCTGTCAAGAAAAAATACACTAATTTCTTAACAGCAAAACTATGTATCATTTACCTTGTAGCCTCCTCACCTAGAAATACATAGCAATGAATTGATAGTGTAACAATATTCTTACCTGCGAAAGATCTGGTATGTCACCTCTGTCAATTCCAACTTGCTGTAAAAAGAAGGAACACTGCATTTAATAAATAAAATTAAAATAAAGATGCTTTATAAATAAAGCTTAGAAAACATTCATGGCTGGTACTATGAACAATATTTCTGAGAAGATTCTCTAAAAGTTTAAAATTCACAGGGATATTTATTTAATCTCACAAGACATTGTTCAAACATTTTTAAGGGCTTAAATGTTCTTTTATGGCTCTAAAAATTTTAAGAGGAAAGGTGAAGCTGGAAATAAACAATTCTCCACAACTTTTGAGAACTTATGTAAGCTATCACCACTATCTGCAGAATCCATCACTTCTGTGTCAAAAGATAAAATTACTGTGGTAAGAATGAGAAAAGATGACCACGAAAAAGTTCCCTTGGGCACAAAATGTTAAGGAACAACCCTCATAATGAATGTCTTTCTCCATAAAATAAGCAATCACCACAGATAATACTTTTTAAAATCTACTGTTCTTGAATAGGTTATACAAAAGTCAAGTGGTATCTAAACAGGATATAACTGTCTCCACAAAGTAATATTAAGACACTTCGTCGTTATTGTTCAGGTCTAGTCAATTTCCAGCAAAAAAGATAAAAACTGTTGTTATCTATTCTATAACACAAATTTAAAAACTTTTCCCTCCCAGTGGCTGTGCTTTCATTTTCTAATCACTCTTCTTTTTTTTCACAACTTAAGACCAGCATCAGTACAAAACTTAAGATCTTAGTGAATAAACTTGTCAACAGTTAATAACTGATACATATGTCTTCAAAAACATTTGACAAATGTACTTGTACCTTTACTCCAAGAACTAAAGTTGCATAATGAAATTACAAGACAGGTTCATGTAATAGTATTTTAGAGCAGGGAACCAGTATCTCAGAACATATGAGCAGATAGATGATCTATTATCATGGAGGAAAACAGGGCTTAAAACTTAGACCAGTAATTATAGCTAGTAAATGTAAGGTATAAATCAACAAATTAGAAGTTAACTTAAAGGATTTACTGGCATCACAGAATAAATACTACCTTTTTGCTTGTAGCATGTGACTGACCCTAAAGAAACAGAGAAAACCAATGACTTCTCCTTGAAAGATACTTTAAATCCAAAGTAAATTTACTATCAGTAAATTTAAGATACGGTTAATAACAAAAAGCTATTTTCTTTGATGTCATCATTCTACTCTATCCTATTCCATCTTTCACAGAATATCATAGTGGTACTAGAGCCTAAAATCACCAACTTGCTTGCTACATACTACTGAAAGACAGTTTACCTCTGCAACTTTGAGAAACTCTGAGATTCTTGTCATCCTAGTCAGGAACTTCTTATAGATGTCAAGGCCTTCTTTGCACTGGTTCTTTTTCATATCAAAATATTTTTCTATTAAAAGTAGATGTAAAATACTTTTATTCACTATTAAAATATAACACCCAAAAAGGAAAAAGATTAATAATTCCAGAGAGGTCATACAATTATCTCAAAGAAACTCATCTTACAGAAAAAAGTCAGTATCAAATTAGTTTAGATATTTAAAGTAAATTAGAGGTGTTATTAAAAATAGAAGAAAAAAAACCAGTTGATTTTAATCATATATTTCTTCCTTCACAATTACCTCAATATATACTTGCAATATCAACACATATTGTACCTTTGCAAGAAAAGTACAGTATATATTGTACCTATTAGTACAAAGCAATAATGTCTACTTCCACATACTCTGGGTATAGTAATAAAAATGGCACTTTTGTCATATCCAAATGTCACTTGAAAAGTTTACTGAAGGTTAATATATAAACAGCAGCAATGAGCCTACTTGGCACTAATCTCAGTGGAAGACTATGCTTCCCCAAAGCTCTGTAGAAAAGAAATCTCTTCATTTTTCACTTGTAAAAAAAAGATAACCCCCAATTTAATTTCCCTATCTCCATGGACTAATAAAAGTATTTCTGTATAAGTCTGTGTTAATGTAGCCTACAGAAAATCAAACTTAATTCTTAAAATAAAAAAGTGGGTAAGGGAGAACAAAAGTATTGGAGTAAAACAAGTCTGATACTTAACACTAGAATGCCCTTTACAAAGAGTTACCTATCTACTTCATTCAAATCCCACTGAAAAATATTAGCATTTCTAGGAAAAAGTAATTATATTTCATGTGTATGGTAAAATTAATCACATTCCTTATGTATAAGTGAATATAAAATAGAATACTACACATGCTTTTTTGCATGCTTAAAAATGCATAAAGCACTTTAAGTAACTATCACTATAAAAATTAGGCACAACAGAAAACACCAACTTATAAAGTTTATTTAGAGTGATTTGTGAGAAAATAAGGTTTCTCTGGGACAGAAAAATTAAATAAATTTGATAGAAAAAAAGCTGTATCTTGAAAATATACAGCTCATTCTATTTTTATATATAATCAGATAAAAAATTCTTTTCTCAAATTATTTCTCAGTGAATGTATCTTCCTAAATTTTCAGGCAATTTTAAGTAAAACATCAACTATTCTTTATCCATAAGTCAAAAGGTAAGAAATAAAAGATTAAGCTAAAGCAATATTTACCCAACAGGTTAATAATTCCTTCATTGTATGCTGCGAACAGTCTAATAGCATCTTTGAACAGGAGCATGAAGGCAGCATTTATTACCCCATTTGTAAGTTCATTGCTATTAACCTGGGGGGAAAATTTTCAGAGAAAAGATTAGCTAGTCTTATGTTTCAAGTATCAATTACTTCCATCAAATTAAAATGCAGTGAATTAAAATAATTAGGATGCATTTGGGAAAAAGATATTTCCTGTATCAGTTAGAGTTAATATAAAAACCAGAGTTCAGATTCACAATAAAGTCAAAGGCAAACAATTACCTGAAACATTTAAGGCAAACAAGTACCTTAAACATTCAATTTAGTTCGCAAATGAGAAATATGAACAAATACATCTATTCTAACTCAATATTCCTAGGCTATCTGAAATTAGTAAGTAAGTTCATTCCAACTTCAAATATTCCTATCTAATTGCAAAATAAAGCCAATTCCTAGGTAGGAATTCACTTTGAATCATGAAATTCACTAAATATGCTGAAACCAAAAAGTATTTTTTTAATGGTTACTACAATCAGCTTATTAACTATACATATGACACATTGGTTTTTCTTTTTCTCAAAACAAATCTTCATCAACTTACATGATGTTTTAAAACATCATCAAATCAAAATGCACTTAGTAAACCTAATCTATTTAATATCATAACCTAGTCTAAGCTACTTTAAATCTGCTAAGAACACTTACAGTAGCTACAGTTCAGCAAACTAATTTCACGGGCATTTTGTAGACTTGCGATGGGAAAGCAACAAAACACAATATTTAAAAACACTGGCAACAACAACAAAAAAAACTACCAAAAAGTATCAGTTGTTTATCCTGCTAATGGGGTGAGGGGCTAATAAGCAGCTAAGACTTACTGCCACTGCCAGCATCACAAAAGAATAGTACCAACGTGGGTCAGGAAAAGATCAAAATTCAATGTACAGAATTACTGAAAACATAACCCATAACACCATTAAAAGCCAAAAAAAATAAGTTGAACTACTGAAACATAGGGACTGTATTACAAACAAACCCACATTTAAAATAGTTATGAATATTATTTCCACGTGATATAGTTACTGAATTAAGTGACACACTGATTGAAGATAGCCTAGAGTACAGAAGTACCTAAGATAGAAATAACCATTATTTGCTGTTGTTATTATGTGGTTAAAAAAACAAACAAACAAACAAAAAAACAGTATCTGTTTGTCAAGAATACTGTAGCGATTTTTAGTTTTATCTCAAGCAATGAGTCACAAAAAAAATCAACCAACTTAAGTTCATTTGTAGGAAATATGAAAATCTAATATATAAATATTAGCCTATTGGCAGTTATAGAAAAACATAAACACAAAGGTAAACAGTAAGCAACAAACTGGCATATATTTGCAGAAGATCTAACAAGGCTAATTTCTATTACATTGAATCCAATAACAATACAAATAAGATGGTTCACAAAATAAAAGTACATAGCTAAAAACATGTGAAAAGAGGTTCTATTTTCATTCATCAGGTAAATTAAAATGTAATCAAATTAGATCATTTTGAAGCACTAAAACAATAGGTTATCAAAATCAACCATTATTCAGTATTATTCAGGCTGATTAAGGTGAAGAAAAGCAGGTACTTATTGACAAGTGACTGATTCCATCTTTTTGCAGCATACATCACCAATATAAAAATATGTGTTTGTATCCTCTTACCCACCCAATTCTTTCCCTAAGAATTAAACCTACAGGCCCTCCCTGGTGGTGCAGTGGGTTAAAGCACAGCACAAAGAAGCTGAAACCACTTCCACATGAGTTTGATTCCCGCCTGCCCCGGAGGTGACCACATGGCGTGGCAGACCTCTCCTAACCCGCCTGCTGCTCCCCTTAGCAGTGTACTTCATTGATCTGCCTGTTCTGCTCCCCACTCTGTCTCTGGTGAAGCCTTTCACTGCCCCTGAGCCTCTGGCGTGTACCCCAGTTCTGTATGCACAAATAAATAAATCTTTAAAAAAAAAAAAAAAGAATTAAGCCTACAGAGATAGGCTTATGGCTTATAATTATGTAGCTCTAATGCAGAGATAGACATAATCTAATACACACACACACACACAATATGGAGATTTATTCTACTTCTGTTTTCTCCATTTACTCAGTTAATAAACCCAGTAATACGCTAAAAAAGAAAAGTCTAAATATCAATTGGAGGATCAGGTTAACTGCAGATGAAGTATAATACAGACATTGAAAAAAAGTACATTATTTTATAAAGCATTTTACAAAATATTGAGTTCAAGAAATTATCAGGGTTGGACTCCTAAAAAAAATAAAACTTAGTAACTACATCAACTCCTTTTATCATTTAGGCTAGAAGTCAGCAAACTCTTTTTAAAAGGCTAATAATGTTAGTAGCTTAGATTGTAGGCCACAGTCTCTGTCACAACTACTCAATTCTGTTACATCATAAAAGCAGCCACACACAATATATAAAAGCAATGAGCTTGGCTGTGTTATAATTCTATTGTGAATACTGAATGTTTCATTCTATTTTCATCTGTTAATTTTTTTATTGTCAAACAACTATTTTAAAATTTAAACTCATTTTTGTCTCACACAACATATAAAAAAAGCAAGTAATAGTTTAATAATCTAGGCTATGAAGTATTTACAGGAACCATTTACTATATGCTTATGGAATACTATGTGCCATACAAAAGTGACAAATGAGGACAGCAGAGAAAAAGAAGACCTGGTCCCTACCCAAGATGCTTAAATGCTACCAAATTTAGCATGTAATTCTCATAGTTCCATTCACAAGCTTTCTCTCACAATCTTTAAAATGTCTTCAGACAAAAGTGCCCCAAAGACAAAAAACTTGGCAAAGTTAACACCTAACATATTACAAACGACAGCTGGTTCAAGTAATAGACATTAAAAAAATTCCTGGGAATTTTTGGGCAGTAACTACAAACAGGTTATTACAAGTATATCTGAACTTAACTTTTTTTTTTTTGAAGGTTTATTTATTCATACAGATTTGGGGTACAGGCCAGAGGTTCAGGAGCAGTGAGAGGATTCACCCAAGACACAGTGGGGAGCAGAACAGGCAGATTGACCAAGTACACTGCTGAGGGGAGCAGTGGGTGAGGCAGGAGAGGTCTACAGTACCATGGGGATCACTTCCGGGGCCAAGGATTGAACTCACACTGAAGCAGCTGGGCCTGGCTTGCAATGCTGTGTTTTAACTTGCTGCGCCACTAGGGAGGGCCTATTTCTTAGTAACTGTACTTTTGAGTTTTACAAAGCAGGTAAAGTGAAATATTAAGTTGGCTACTAAAAAAGAAAATCTTTATATACCTCATTTTATTGCAATTCACTTTCATGCACTTTGCAGATAGATATATTTTTTTTTTACAAGATCCCCTACCAGCAAAAACAGTATGACTCATTCAAGGTTCAGATGGTTAGCATTTCTTAACAGTAAAGTATTTTAAAATTGAGTTCTATTTTATTTTTTTAAACATAATACCATCTTATACTTACTAGATTACGCTAGTGTAAACAAAGCTTTTATATGCTCTGAGAAACAAAAAAGGTATCTCAATTCATTTAACTGGGCTAGCTGCTTTATTATAGTCTGGAACCAAATCTGCAATTATCTTTAGGTTATGGTTGTAAATTTTTTAAATCTAAAGTTCATTATCAAAATAAAGCAGATTTTCAGATCAATACCTTTACTTTTTCATCCCTTTAGCATTTCATGAATTTGTTTAGCTGTATACCATCTAATTCTAGTGCTAAAGAAGTTCCACCAAAGAAATTGTTGTTACTCTTAACACAACTATAAAAAAGAAAATAAAATTGATCTGGGACAACCATCATAGCATTTTTTAGTCAAATATTACATTAATATGAAAAAATTATAACCTATGCAAACTTTTGAGAATATAAAATCTGGCCAATTATAATAACAACTTTTAAAATCTTAAATCATTAAAGCATCTGTGTTGCCAGCTTACATTAAAATCAAGGAGAGCATCCATTTGATTTTGAATAATTGGTACAGTTTTAAGTAGTTTTTCTGTGTTCATCGTTCTCATAACTCCATCAGCTCTGTGGGGAAAAAAAAAAAGAAGTGAGTTGGTTATTAAATCTACAATTCAAATTCCCATTTAATTTTTCTAATAAACAGAGAACAAACTATTACAAAATGTCAGATACTTTTAAGTCATTACTGACCCGGAAACTTTAAGTAGAAATCATATAGATGTCCTTCTTCGAAGAAAAATGTAGTTCATCTTTTAAAACAACCTGACGACCCATAATTCAAAATCTGAAAAATTATTATGGCTTACATTTTGAAATACTCAACTTACCCTCTTTTCACTTTTGTGAAATCAAATGCAACTTGTCTGTATGAAACTGCTTTTTCATTTAGGTATCTACTATACCGCCTAATAAACGTAGACATGTCATACCCTGTAAAAAAAAGAAAGACTTCATAAATGATATAAAGTTCCAATTTGCTCAGAAAATCAACTAAATGTCAACCAATGGCCATAATGCCTTGATAGCCCAACTGAATATAGTGATGCAAACTAAGTGCATCATGAGATACAAACAGTATCTCATTAAATTCTCTAATAACTTCATACTTTTATGTTAGATATCTCATATGTGGCTTTGAAAAACTTTTCCCCTTAATAATTCACTAAAACAATCATTCTGTTTACGTCTATTCAACTTTCCTATCTTTCATTTATCAGGACATGAAAAACATGTTCTTTTATGCTATTTGATAACCTGCCTCATGTTTAAAATTTAACATCCAGTGGAACTATACAGGTGCACTACTCAAATCACTAAGCAATTTTGTAATGTTTATAATTATGAAATACTTAGTTGCATTTATTTATAACCATAATTATGTGTGCCCTATCAAAAGTATAAAAAAAATTACTACATATAGCAAACATGGAGATGTAAGGGAGTAAGCTAAGCTTATAAAATAACCAAGAAGGAGAAGAATAAATACTAGAAGGGGTCACTCGTATGTGAAATACAGAGAAACCAAACAAAGGGCCAGAAAAAAGACAAAACTTTAAAACCAAACTTTAAAAGCTGGCCTTAAATCTGAGGCACAATGGAGAATGGTAGTGGAGTATGGATGCTTTTGTGGTACGAGTATATTATAGTAGTTACAACTGAAGAAGTAAATCCTATACTGCAAAAAACTAACTAAGATGTAAAACAGTACCTCCATTTAAAAAAAAATCAAAATTGCATAGTCCACTGAAAAAACTGGCCCTGTACAAATTTACATTGTAAAAAAGTTATGTGAATACTTTCCATAAAATTTTCTGAAGGATTATCTAAAGATTTTATTTCATCACAATCATGAAATTTGCAGACCTCAGAAGACAGAATTCAATATATGGTACTTTTAAAAAAAAATGTAATTTAGATATCGCCTGGTTAAGGAAATCTCCAGTTTTTATTTCTCACTGAAAAGTTGATCCTATTTTATGGCTCATCTTCACCGAACAAATTTGATTTAACCTGGTGTTCTCTGCTACATTAAAAAGACAGTACCTATACAAAAACAAACAAAAAAAAGTAACTAGATTTAACACCACAACCAATCAATTTTGTTCAGCAAATATTTCTTAAGTGCCTACTAAGTACCACTGGAAAAAATCAGTGAACAAACCAGGAAATAAAATACTGCCTATGGTAGCTACTAGAGTATTGTTATAGGTATTAGAAGCTCATATTACTCTGATTTTTTGTTACCTTTTATTTACTCTGTTTCATTTTCTCTTTCTTTTTTTGAATTTTTTAAAAATTTATTTATACATACAAGAGCTGGGGTGTAGGCCAGAGGTAGGAGGTGGGGGTGAGAGGATTTACCAGATATAGAGTGGGGAGCAGAACAGGCAGATTGACTGAATACACTGCTGACTGGAGCAGCAGGTAAGACAAAAGAGGTCTGCCGTGCTGTTTGTTCCCTGGCCAGGGATCCAACTAGAGCTGCAGTGGCTGTTGGTAGCTTTGTAGTGCTGAGACTTAAGCTCCTGAGCCATGAGGGAGGCCCCTAGTTCATCCTCTCTGCTGTAAGAAATAACCCTCATCCTTCAAAGTGGAAACATCCCCTGAATTCTGCCTATATTATGTGACTCCAAGAACAGCTTGTAGCTATTACATGTACACAATGTCTACTCAACTCACTAAGCTGGAAATCTATTTATAGATATATGAACCCAGGAAAACAATAGTATGTATTTAATAAAATATACCAAGACTCTATTCAATAAAATACATCAGCAATCAAAATACTTTTCAAATCACCACTGAATTATTGCTTTTAATGAATGTTTCAGTCTTTATAATTTCTTTAAACTATAAACTCTAAATATATATATATATATCCTAAACACTATTTCCTACATAAGCCTTAGAATCTTATCCCCTGACATGCTGAATTTCCATCAGAAGAAAATGGAAAATCAGTAGCTAAGAAGACACCAACAGCCCACTTGGACATATGCAATCTCTGCTCTAAAGTACCAGTTTGCATATTGTTTTCATGGCTATAACTAAAAAGATGAACATACAGTTTTCTTCATGTTACCAAAAACAGAACAATTCCAGTTATAGCTGTTGTACAACTGGCTACTATTTCAGATTTTATTTGAAGAGGGGTTCCACTGTTTACTTTTTCCCCTTAACTTATAGCATAAATCTCTTGTTAAAGTAAAATCATTTGACACTTGGTCCTCTGCATAAGGTTACTTACTTGCCTTCCAGAATCTCTTGAAAGGTAGGGTATGTAATTCATTCCAATTACTACATCCATCTGCCAAAACTAAAGTGAAGAACCCCTAACCCAAACACATTTAGTCACTAATTTCAATTCTATACCCACAAAAACCACAATTCAGGTATTAACTCTTTAACAGATAATCAGAATGACTTCAATGTCTTTAACACTATTCACTCTAATCAAATTATGATGCTTTATAACATACTCTGTCTCCCCAACTCCTCCAACTCCCAAAATTTTGGTGGTTTCTCACAGCATTATAAAACCCAAACTCTTATTAAAATATTCTATGCCTGATTTAGGCCTTGAACATCACCTTGAGGGCTATTTGCAACTAATATTCTCCAAAATATTATTCATATATTTTATTCAATATCATTTTCTCTATAAACCAGATATCCCATGTTCTTTCTCATCTGTGTACCTCTACTTAAGCCAATTCATGCCTTCATTTTTCAAAGTTTAGCACAAAATATCACCTTCCCTAAAGATACTTCTCAAACTGAGCCTTACGGTGACTATTCTCAAGTCTTTTGGTATGTCTTTTATGAGGTTTGTCTGTATGTCTAAAACTGACATTCTCTTTTGCTAATAATCTGGCTCTGAAACTAAATACAGCAGTACAAAAGCATGGAAGGTTTACAACCAGATTATAGCAATCTCAAGTTACTGAATTAAAACAAATTAACAGGTATGAGTATCAATAAGGCAATGCATCTAAGTAATACACTATAATTACCTTTGAAAGTAGAAGCATAGCATTCTCTGTTAGACAGGCACTATTCTAGGCACGTGACATATAATGATTACATTAAACCTCATGACAACCAAAAAGAATAGGTGTGATCAGTATTCCTGATTTTATAGATACAGAGAGGGAAAATAACCTGCTTAAATTCACATAGCTGGAAAGTAACAGAGAAGAAGTCAAATCTAGATAGTTCAGATCAAGAAATGGTACATGCAAATCATTACCTTAAACTGCTCTCAAAGAGTTCTGGGTATCAATCTAATCTAATCTGGGCATCATTTCTAGTGAAGTCAATCTAAACATTGAGACAGTTTTGATTTCTTAAAGCCTTCACTAAAATGTGGAAGTTAATGCACATTCCACTAACACATGCATAAAAGAAAAGAGTTCAGCTCTGCAATAATTGCCATTTAAGGGTCACTTCTGATTTTCTCTAATGAGTTGTCTTTACCTTGCAATCCACTTTTATCCAAAAAATTGCTTAAGTTAAACAACGTGTTTCTTGAAGCCAAATACTGGATAAAACGCTGGGGAAAAAAAACACACACACACAAATAAAAGTTAAATCAAACCACTGCCATCTAACAAACTCAAATTGAAAACTTAGGGGTATAAGGTGTGGCTAACACATCCTATTAAACTTATCTAGTTTCAATTTTTTATACCCCTGTCTTCTAATTACCAATATTACAGATATAATACATCTTATTTAATATTATATAGGAACTTATCAAAGCCTAATGCTCATAACAATGACATTAAAATCAAAATAAAAGGAACTGGGTACTTTAAACCAGTAATTTTTATATTACTGCAGAATGCTGGAGGGCCAAGCTAATCATACTTAGGAAGCATCTTTAAACAGCTATTAACTGATGCAAATTTTTATGAGTTTTTAAAAAAGTAAAAAAGTTATAATCATACCAGAATAATATTGCAGATATCGTTGTACTCACTAGCCATATTTAACACATTACCATATTCACTTTAGATCTTACAGACTCAAACATTATAGGCTTATACCTTCAACCCCATGACCCTTTTTCCTTCCTTTAGAAATAATCAATTTGCTGAAATAGCATGTATCACTTCCACACCCATTTCAATACTTTTACTACATATGTATTAGCATCTATAAAGTATGCACAATTTTGTTTCTATTTTAAATTTACAAAAATGTTTACTCTTTCCAGTAACTTTTAAACATTTCCCCAAGAATTGTCCACTTACTATATGAAGATCTAGTTCATTCATTTCAAAAGATAGTACAGCATTTCAATTAACTATTGTTATTATGTATATGGATATTTGAGTTCTGCCAACATCACTATTATTGTTTCACTGACATCTCTGTACCCGGTCTCCATGTGCAAGCAACTTCTCAGGATATAACACAGGAAGACACTGTTCCTTCAGTATATATAAGTAGTTCTCAAAATACTATCAACATGCTCTTCAAACTGCCTACCATAAAACACTTTTAACATCCTTTTACATACAAGCTCTTAGGTTAAAGAAACTCCTTTCAAATTTCTTCTTCTTCGGAGCTGTGTGTGTGTGTGTGCACGCACGCGCACACGTGTGTGCGGGGAGAGTTACCATCAATTAGGATTTTACTCCATTTCATTATTTATCCTAAAACAATTTCATTTCATAAAGATGTTGACATGCTAAGACAATATTTTAAGCTCTGATTTTCTTAGAAATTGTCAAATCTATGCACTGTAAAATGTTTAGGAGTATCCCTGGCCTCCACAGACTACTTAGGTTCCACTGCATTCTCTTCAGTTGTAACATAAGTTCCTTACAGGGAAAGTTAATTTCTTTCCTCAGTTATTAGAAAATTTGAGAATCTATGGCCTTCCCATGACAATAGAGTGAAATCTTACGCATGCTCTCTCACAGATTAGTTAACTTGCCAATGTGAAAACCTGAGCGTTGTACAAACTAGCACAAAAAATGAGCTAGAGCATCAGATTATTCCTAGTTGCTTAAGGAAAACTAAGCATGAGTTTACCTAAAAATGATGTTAAAATGCTATGTTCTTCCTTTTGTCATTCAACTGCAAGGGTTAACATTTAACTTTCTATTTCTTTGCCTTTATTAAAGTTTTGCTTCTTTAAAAAGAAAAACGATGAAAAAATCAATGCCAGTTAAGAAGGCAAACTAAAAGGTAACCTGGTATTAGCTCATTCATGAACTTTTCTTTTTAAGTAAGAAACCACATTAAAGGCCCTCCCTGGTGGCACAGCGGGTTAAAGCACAGCACTAAGAAGCTTAAGCCACTTCCACATGAGTTCGATTCCTGCATGCCCCGGAGGTGACCACATGGCGTGGCAGACCTCTCCTGTCTCGCCCGCTGCTCCCCTCAGCAGTGTACTTCATTGATCTGCCTGTTCTGCTCCCTGCTCTGTCTCTGGTGAATTTTCTCACCTTCTGCATCTCTGGCCTGTACCCCAGTTCTGTATGAATAAATAAATAAATCTTAAAAAAAAAAAAAAAAGAAACCACATTAAAAATAAAAGATGAAAACTACATTAACATGAAATTATGATCAAAAATAAAATACTGTTAATGAAAGTAGAAATTATCAAAATGCTTAATTACATTGATACTATAGCCAAACACCTATTTCCTCTGTATATTCGATAGAAGGAATTAAAAAAACAATTTTTAAAGGTTAAGAGTAATATATGTACTAAAAATGACAGTATCTATTGACTTAGTGCTATTCCAGATAACTCTTCTGGAAATAAATTAAAAACTTTAAAAACTATAAACAAAATCAATCAACATCCTGCTGCAAATAAACTATGGATATATGTTCAACTGTACAGTCATTAAGAGAAAAACAAAGAATATGGAGAAAAGGTATGATATAAAAAAGTTAAACATAACATTTTATCTAAATTATGATTATAACCATAAAACATACTTTTGGATAAGGACTAGAAGTGAACACCATAATGTACAGTCAGGTCTGCTGTGGTTATTATAGCTTGGCTAAATTCTTGCTTTAATTCTGTTCCACTGTTATCTGTCAAATAAGAATCTCATGACTGAAAAGCCCAAATACTAAAGAAAGTAGTGGATGACATGCTCAAGTCTAATACTAATGACTAAAGTTACTTTCCATTAATATGTGGGATACTTTTTCTAAAAAACACATACAGAGTAAAAACATGTATTTATAAATACAAGTTTTCAAATAATTATACTTGGTTGAGAAAAGTACTAAAAATTCAATTGCTAGATATTACCATGTAAAGTAAGATGAATTTGTCCAAACTTTAAACTGCAAAAATTTAAGCATCTTATTTATTGTTGATCTTTTGGGCAACAGATATTTCAAACACAACTTTCTGTTAATAAAAGCATTCTTCAATCAGTCTCTTCCAGCAAAATCCCATTATTCCTCAATATTACAGCTTGAACTACACAAAGTGCTTCTACAATTAATTAATTATATGAAATCATACAAAATCTAATTGGACTATATTAATAAAAAGCACAAGGATACAGGCTACATACAAGGCCTACAGAGATCAGTGCTGGTGACAGAGACCACCTCTAGGAATGAATCTTTGCTTCCTGATTCCATTACTGAAGAACTGTGTGCTTTGACCTTCTTCTGTCATCTTTCCTCAACTTGTAGGGCCCACATTATTATTTGTTACCTTGGCAACTAGCACTTTTTAATCTATCCTTCAGTTAGTTTGCTGAAGCCATCCCTGAAATTTCAGTATGAACAGTAAGCTGAACAATCAATCAACACTCCATTATACATGTTAGCTAGAAATTCTGCTTACCTCATTTCCATACACCATCAAATGATGAGTAGTAATGAGAGATTTGAAGACCACCACCCAACTACTGTTGGTAGTTCTTTCAAATAAACTGTCTGCCAACTGTGGGATGTTCACATTCATCTCATTTGTGCACTGAATTAAATCTGTAATGAAAAAAATTAATTTATTCTCTGATTTTAATTAATTGTTATGCCAATACTTGCATACTAACAAGTAGAAGATCTAACATGTAAGAATGACAAATATTTTGAGTAAGTTGTTAAAAATCTCAGAACAATTACGATCACTATAATCAACCTGAGGAGTAAACAAGATATTGATTAGAATCACATAAATGATCAATAATCAGAAAATAAACACCCTCAAGGAGTAACTCAACCTTATGCATTTTATCTTAAAAGGAATTATTTCAAGGCCTAAGGAAACTTTCAATTCTCCTGCTACTGGTAGGTCTTTATACTACTACTATTCAACCCTACCTTAGAAAAAAGCTCAGAAATCAGATAACCAAAGCATGAACAAGTTGAAGGTCACTATTTTTACTAATATCCTTCCTAGAATGCAACCTTCACAATCACAGGCAGATTAAGAGAGCTGACATGCACTCTGTAAGTGGGTAGGATTTGTAACTCAGTACCCTTTCCCTGCTCCCCTCAGTTCTACTTGTTAGGTCATATAACTAGTTCTAACACTGACCAAACCAAACAAAACCAAACAAAACAAAACTGAAAATGAACTGAAAGTTCTTATTACATAAATTTCCAATTAAAAAATATCTAGGAACTAAAAGCAACATTACTGTAAAAGAGTTAAAAACAATGTAAGATTCTGTATTTCATACTAGAAAGCATTACAATAAAGTAATCAAATACATCCAATCATTTCAACGCCAAAAATGAAAAGGTCAACAGACTTCAATTTCCCTCCAATGTGCTGAAGAGATATTTTAACAAATTCAGTGAAGAAAATATAAAGCATGCTCCAATTTAGAAAACAGAAAAACTCTGAAATGAGCCGTTTTACCTTTAAAGTATATGCAAAAAGTATATGCATAAGTATCTGTTATAACAATTAAGAGGGAAAAGTTATTTATGACTCATTGTCAATTTTTCCAGTTTAATCTTCAGTGCAGACTCATTAAATATGAATTCAATGGATGTAATTTGACCTCAATTGCAAGAAACATCAATATAACTATGGCGATTTATTTGCTTACTCTTTCAAAACTCATATACAGTGTTGTAACCAATGTTATCACATCAAAATATTACTCTAAAGGCCCAATTATACAAAGTAATATTTGATAAGCAAATGCATCCTAGACAGTCAAGAATGACTTTGTAAAGGATAATGACACAAGGACTTCACAATTCAGACTACCTGCAACAAAAATTAAATAGATTGTTTAATTTGGCATGCAAGGTTTTAGTTTCTGAAAGTAAAAAACAGAATTTGATCTGTCTTTTCTGAATCTTCTTAAATATTACGTTATATCTCTCCTACAGCACTGAAAATATTGTACTTTTCTTATTCCCAAAGCTAAGCTTTCTCTTCCTCTCAAAGGAGTCTACTGAGGGCATGACCCTGTGTTCCTCATTTTAATCTTCTAGAACTTGAAGCACAATGGTCCAGTCTTAAACTTAATTAAGTTTAATTCCTTGCTTTTTTTTCCATATAAAGATCATTTTACTTTCCAGAAACGTTCCTGGCTAGTTAATTCAATTATTAAATAGCTACTTCCTCATGATGATGCTAATAGTCACATTACCCCTCAGTATTTTTAGTTTTCAGAATTTACCTGTCATAAAATTTGTCACCATATTGCACAAAGATGTTCCCATGTCTTTGTGTTTACATACACAGTCCATTGCTAACTGAGTCTCCTACACCTCCAGCAATTTCACTTTCTCTCCATTCAAAGCAAGCATCCAGCCCTTATTTATTTCTTAGCAATGAGGCATCACCTTCTCCTGAGAGTGTTTGCAAATCGGGGAGGAGATTATTATACTTTTCTAGCAATGTTAGCAGCATGCAACCTCAAATTTGAGAAAGCCTAACAGTCTTGTAATACAAAGCACACCATAATTTAAAACTGCTCCAAGCAAAATTGACTAGAAACAGTGAACTGACTGGCCTCTCTACATCTGAGATAACTGATCTGGGGGTCTCGTCCACCCATCCAAACATTTCCTAAGCTGACCAAAGAAAGATTCACAACACAGACTGTTTAAGTTAATGAGTTCCTACTATTTAAGGGATGGCATATATATCATCTTTGTCATTATGTCCTTGAATCTTAGCTTCCAACATAGAATCACATTTTGGTTTTCTAATATGCCTTGCTATCTTCCCATTCAAACCTTTCCACTCTTGTTCATTCTTCAAAACAAATAAAAATTTTCCTATCCATTAAGTTTGTCCCTGCAAACATTTTTTGTTAGAAACTCTATATACAGGCATACATGCCTTGTTTCATTACACTTAGCTTTGTGGTGCTTTGCAGATCATACTTTTTTTTTTTTTAAGAAGTTGATGTTATGACAACTCTGTATTCCAAGCATCATAATTATTTTATTTTATGGTAATCTGTGGTCAGTGATCTTTGCTGTTACTATTTTAACTGTCACCTATGTAATCAGTAAATTTATGTGTTCTGACAACTCTTTATCAGTTCATAATCCTATGATGACCTCTAATTATTCACTGGTACATCCCTCAAGTTCAATGAAAACAAGATATTAAAGATTTAATGAGGAAAGCGAAAAAAGTTAGGCCTCTTGCATATAAAAGTTAGCCAAGTTGTGAATGCAAAGTAAAAGTTATTGAAGGAAACTAAATGCTGTTCCACTGAACACACAAATAATAAGAAAAACAGCCTGACTGCTGATACAGAACATGGTTTTAGTGGTCTAGCTAGAATATCAAACCAACCACAATATTCCCTTAAACCAAATCCCAGAGCAAGGCCCAAATTCTATGAAGGCTAAGAGATAAGGAGGCTGCATCATTAATGTTTGAAGCTATTGATAGAAGTTAGTTCATGAGGTTTAAGAAGCTGTTTCTGTAACATAAAAGTACAAGGTAAAGCAGCAAGAGATAATTTAAGGGCTGCAGCAAGTTGTCCAGATGAAATTAAAATCATTGGGGGAACTATACTAACAAAAGATTTTCCATGTAAAGGAAAAAAAAAAAAAAACAAACAGCCTTCTAATAATAGAAGATGCTTTCATCACTAGAGTGTAGTTAATCAGTACTTGGCTTCAAAGCTTCAAAAGATAAGTTTCACTAGTTAAAAGCTAAAATACCAAGTGATTTTAAGTTGAAGCCATTTACCAACTCAAAATCCTAGGATCCTTAAGAATCATGGTACATCTACTCTTCCTACGCTTTATAAAAGGAGCAAAGCATGCATGACAACACATGTATACAACAAGGTTTACTGGAAAACCTCAGACCGTTGAGATCTGCTCAGAAAAAAAAAAAGATTTCTTTCAAAATTTTATAGCTGCACATTGACAATGCACCTGGTTACCCAACAGTTTTGATGAAGATGTCCAAAGAGAATCATGCCGCTTTCATTACTGCTAAAAGCCATCAATTCTGCTGCTTCCCTTCCCCTGGCCCCAAGCATAATTTAAACTTTCTTGGCTTACTGCTGAATAAACATAGTTCATAAGGCTATAGCTGCCCAAGAAAAGATGGGAATGTGGTCAAGTGAATTAAAAACCTTCTGCAAAGTATTTATCACTTAGATGTCATTAAGAACATATATTAACAGGTGTTCCCAAATATGAACAGAAGCTTGGAGGAAGTTGATTTCAATTCTTATCTATGACTTGGAGAGGTTCAAGATTTCATAAAGGAAGTAACTGCAAAGATTTCATAAAGGAAGTAAGAGACCCAGAATTTTAAGTGCAACCTGAGCCTTCCTGGTGGCACAAGGAGTTAAAACATAGCACTATATAAAGCTATCCACAGCCACCTCAGCGCGAGCACAAGTCCAATGCCTGGCCAGGGAGATGACCCACATGGCACAGCAGACCTCTCCTGTCTTGCCAGCTGTTTCCCTCAGCAGCATATGATGCTCTATCTGCCTTTTCTGCTACCTCTGTCTCTGGTGAATCCTCTCAGCCCTGCACCTATGGCCTACACCCCAGTTCTTGTATGCATAAATAAATAAATCTTAAATAAGTGCAATCTAAACATTTAACTGAATAGTTGCAATCTATGAGAATTTGCTTCCTATGAGTGAGCAAATAAAGCAGTTTCTTAGCATTACTAAGCATCTATTCCTGGTGAAGATGCTGTGAGCATCACTGAAATAACAACAAAAAATTTTAAATATTACATAAACTCAGTTGCTAGAACAGCAGCAATATTCTGAGAGGACTATCTCCAATTTTGAAAGTTTTATTAGAGTGGCTAAAATACTCTGAATCAGCATTACATGCTAGAGGTATCTTTCTTGAGTGAACTGATTAAGCAAACTTCATTATTGTCCTGTTTTAGTAAATTACCACACTCATTCCAAATTATTAGTAGCAATTAACATAGAGGCAAGACACACTATCAGCAAAGATTACAACTCACTGAAGGTTCAGATGATGGTCAATACTTCTTAACAGACAGTATTTTTGAATTAAGATCTGTACTTTTTTTTTAAGATACAATGCTACTGCACATTTAACAGGCTACAATATAGTAATGGTGACATAGTTTTTATACCCACTGGAAAACCCTCAAAGTGTTTGACTCACTTTGTTGTATTAGTTTTATTGCAGTGGTCTGGAGCCAAACCTACAATCTCAGATGTATGCTTTCCCTCTTTATCATGGCAGCTAAGTAAACTGCTAGGTTTTGTCAACTAAAGCTTGATCTTAAAGGAAGTTACAGAATTCAGTTTCAACAACTCTACCTTATCAAAATATAGATATTCTAGCTACACTACATTCTTTTTACAAAAATCTTTGTAATGCCTCTTACCAGCCAAATTGGGACCTTTGGTACTAAGCACTGGCAGTTCTCATCTCCCAGTTATTTACACTTCTTGCTCCCTCACTTGATTCCTACAGATTCCAGAGATCTTTGCTCAAATGTTACCAGATATACTTCTCTAAACAGTTATACAAAATAACAATGCTTT